TCCTGGCTTTGCCCTCTGACGCGCCATCGTGGAGTGATACACTGTTGTATCGGATGGTTTCCACATGCCATCCCCCGCTACAATGAACAAGAGCTCCTGGAGAAAGGGCTGATCCCAACCCGGGGAAAGAGAATGTAGAAGGCAGCCTATGACATCTTGTGGCAGAAAGCAAAGGAACACCAAAAATACAAGAGACAACTTTAAGGAGTTCCCACCGGCCAATTCTGGGACAATTTAAGCAGCACATAAAAAGTATGGCTGTAATTCACTGTAAAACACAATAAATGAAAATCCACAAGTCAATGATACTTTAAAAAAACTCTCATTTGCCACCATAACTGAAGGCCATTATGGCAGCAACTCCTTATTATAAAAATTGATAATTAAAGAGAAAGAATTAAGCATTTACCCTGACATTTTAGGATGAACTAAAATCCATTCCCAATGAATGAAGAAAAGTTCTTCTTTCCAGAACAACGCCAAATACTAAACGTAAAAGAAACTGGAAAATCATCATTTTGCAAGCCCTCATAAAACACAGGAGCTCTAGTGGTGCAGTGGTTACAAGCTACGGCTGCTAACCAAGAGGTCACTCAAGCAGTTCGAATCCACCAGCAGCTCTTTGAAAACCCTATGGGGCAGTTCTGTCCTATAGGGTCACTATGAGTTGGAATCAATGGTTTTAATGCAATACAGGAATCCCTTGCTTTTCAAAAGTTTGCTTTACACCACTTCACTTTTACTAAAGACCTACATTAGTACCTGTTTTCACTAACTGGAAAAAATCTAAAGAGAATTTCCTCACTTTTACGAAAAGAGGTGAAAAGTGGAAATAGCACTCAGTGAGCCATTAAAGACGCAGTGCGGACCCGGAACGGCGACAGTGGCGTCGCCAAGCTCCTTCCCCAGGAACTACACTCAGCATCTCAGCATCAAGCTGCCATAGCTGTGAACTGTGTCTGTGAGCATCTGTGCTTTCTTTCTATTTATTCTGTGTATCCATTAGCAAGATAGGTCCTAAGATACCTCCAGAAAAGCCTAAGAGATGTGGTAAGGGTTTTCTGTGTTACTTGGTATTTTTTGGGTCTGGGAACCCTAAAAATTTTTCCCATATAAATTAATGGCAATTGCTTCTTCCCTTTATGAAAGGTTTCAATGGCACGTGCTACTTTTGGATAGCGGGAAAAACCTGTAATTTATTCAGGCAAAGAGCATCAATCCATGCTAAAACCATTAGGGGAAAGCCTGTTAGGGAACAGGCTATTTTGCACATTCCCAAGTATTACCCTCCAGACTACTTGCTAATTGCAAAGGGAAAGACACAGCTTTCCACTGGAAAGATCTGGCGGCCACCACCTCAGCCAAGTGATCAAACTCGGCTTCACTAGCCTTGTTGCAACCTGGTATTATGACTTACTGATGTAATACTGTAAGACTGAGATACAAGCAAGACTTCTCGGAGTATATCCTTTTAAATAGTTTTAACTTTTGAATCATGTAAATGGTTTATGTATTCTAAAAATAGAGTTAAATCATAAAGAAAAATAATAAGCATTCCCTAAAATGAGAAGGAAACAGAAACAACTATGACAGAAACACTGTATCAGTTATGAAACGTTCTTTCCAAAAACTTTTAGCCTGAATCTAATGGCGCTTTTAGAATTTCTAATTTAAAGAAAATGGTAAGGGATAGAAAAACAAGTTAAACAACACGGGAAGGAAGGAAACAAATCAGCCAACTGGCCTGGTCTCTTCAAAAAGTCAACGACATGAAGGAAAAAAAAAAACTGTGGCAGAATTATTCTAGATTAAAGAGGCAAAACAATTAATTACAATTGGACCCTAGTTTGAAAAAAAATACAGCTCTATAATTTTTAGACAATTAGTAAAATTTAAACAGGGACTGTATATTAGGTGCGATTAGGAAATTGTTCATTTTTCTATGCAGACGCATGCAAAAGTAGGGGTGAAAGGTCATGATGCCTCCAAATGGGTAAGCAAAATTTAAATACATATAATACATAAACACACTGTCATGGATTGAATTGTGTCCCC